TATAAAAGAATATACGTACACTTGTTAAGAGGCACTACAAACTACTAGCTGTGTATAATAATGATATTATGCGGGCAAGCGAAGGCCTATTTATTATCCCACTACGACCTATTCTTGTTCCGACTTTGTATATGAACGGATACCTAACTGAATATTTATATACAATATACAAGGTAGAGTTTTATACAAACAAATCAAAAGTAGTTTTCTAGTTATTTTAGACATGTTTTGTACAAAGAAGCGACCCGTATACATAATATATATATACATAACGGCTAGAGAGGCAATTTCTTATCGTTGACGATAATGTGTATTGATATTTAAAGTTAGCTATTAAAATGAAAACAATGTACATAAATGGTCAATATCAAACCTCAAAGCTTTTATTTCATAGCTCCTAACGGTAAATCTACACTTTTTATTCCCGATATTCCTTAAAATCAGCGACGTTTTAGGAAATTTTTACGTTTTAGGCTTTTACAACTTACTTCCTGATTTTCCCTGTCTGAACTCAAATGTTCTGCATAGATAGACAAAACGGAGTTTTTATGGATCAATTATCGTGCAGCTAAAATCCCGCTATTTTGGAACTTTTAAATCAACCTTTGCGCTTGTATAAGCAGGTACGACCATCAGGATTTTTTTCCAGCAGTGTTGTGTTGTTGGCTGGCCTATCAGTAAGCAGGTAGGCTGGAATTTGAATATTGTATATATTGGATAACCCAATCACATTTGAATCCAATCCAAATAATGCGATTAGAGGCGTTAATCCGTCCTCCTTAGAAGGTTGTTCCTTCTGAATTCGTTCACTGGATCATCATTGGGCTGATTAATCGCATGTCGCAACTTGAGGCTCCTGAGACAAAACGAACCGATTCAGATCAGAAAACGCGCTCCTAAGTTTTGCCTTGAGGCAGCTTGATTCAAAAGTGCAGATTTAATGAGTATTTGATGATCTTTATTTGCCCCGTTTGCTCTATTTTTGATTAAATAAATCAAATGCGCTCAGAAATGACCGCAAACGTCAGCGATAAGTGCTTTAAACTGTTTTCTATGGTTCTGATCGTTCAGACGCGAGTAAACGCACCAAATACATTCGGTTGCAAAATTTTCAGATTCTTCCGCCTGTTATCACTTGGTTAATCAAAGCAACTGAGCTCAGAAAGTGCAGATGCAAAGGCATAAAAAGTCGACTTCAGGCAGTGTTAAATGCCTCAAATTGCTTTATTTGGTTCTGACCGTTCAGAAGCAAGTAAACTCGAGATATTTTTTTGCATTCTGACCCCAAAAAGGCTGATTTTCCCTTGTATCTGCTAGAAGATACTCGCAATCGAGTAGCAGTAAATGCCTCAAATAACTTTACATGGTTCTGATCGTTCAAAGGCGTAAATTCAGCAGCTTTTTAGGTTTTCTGAGCCAAAAAATTAGAAAATCCTGAGTATTTCTGGCTCACATTTCTGATAGTTCGGAAGCTTTTCAACCAACACTAGATCTTCCTGGTTCAAATTTATATTTCAAGTTGAAAATGCTCTGTCGTGATTTTTACCGCTAAACCCTTTAGTTCAGCTTAAAATATTATTTCTCCTCACAGCTCGTAACTGACGTCACACACAAAAAGCTGCAACCGCCCCTCAACTTCCAGTCCACGCCTGTCGACATAACCTATAGCTAACCTCACTTTAGCACACATGTAAACAAGGGGTGATAGCGTGAGCCTTAAGCGATTGCTTCAAAATGCCTAAAGTGAGGGTTGAGAAGAAAAGCCGGGTGCATCAAGAGGTGGCCAAGCAAGGTAAGTCTCTAACGTTGGCCTCGAAACTGTGTAAATAGTGGCATATTTCAGGTATAACGTTCAACAAACAGTTCGGGCAGCACATTCTGAAGAACCCCATGGTTATCACGTCGATGGTGGAGAAGTCCGCTATCAGATCCACGGATACAGTGTTGGAAATCGGTCCTGGAACCGGTAACATGACGGTGCGACTGCTGGAAAAGGCGAAAAAGGTGGTAGCGTGCGAAATTGATACACGACTGGTAGCTGAGCTGCAAAAGCGCGTGCAGGGCACCCACTTGCAGTCGAAGCTGGAAATTTTAGTCGGCGACGTTCTCAAAAGGGAGCTGCCCTTTTTCAACATTTGCGTAGCGAATATTCCCTATCAGATCTCGTCGCCTTTGGTGTTTAAGCTGCTGTTGCATCGGCCGTTTTTCCGGTGTGCTGTCATCATGTTCCAGCGGGAGTTTGCCCAAAGATTAGTAGCCAAACCTGGCGATAAACTCTACTGTAGACTATCGGTGAACACCCAGCTCCTGGCCAGAGTCGACATGCTTATGAAGGTGCTTTCTTTGCGGAAAAATCCTGAGTAAAACCATCGCTAATTGAGTTTTTATAGGTGGGTAAAAACAACTTCAGGCCGCCCCCCAAAGTGGAATCTTCAGTAGTGCGAATCGAACCCAGAAACCCGCCGCCTCCAATACCGTATATTGAATGGGACGGTCTTACTAGAATAGCATTCACAAGAAAAAACCGAACTTTAGGGAGCGCCTTTAAACAGTCGGCGGTTCTGGCCGCTCTGGACAAGAACTACAAGCTCCATTGCAGCCTACACAACGAAGTAAGCAGTTAAATTACCTCCTAATGTGCTTTATATCAGGAACGCCATGTTTAGAATGTGCCGGAGGACTTCAACTTGAAGGCCAAATTGGAGGAGATTCTGCTGAAAGCGGACGCAGCAGAGAAAAGGGCCAGGACAATGGATCAGGACGATTTTATGAGGTGAGTGCTTCAAAATATTCATGCGAATCGGTGATATTAATTTGCTGTTTATCTGCCAGTTTGCTTCATGCATTCAACAGTGAAGGCGTTCATTTCTCGTAGCCAGGCTCCAAAGATGTGGTTGATGTTTGTGGCGAGAGGGATAATATAAAAGTATTTTTGTTTAATTTTTTCTTGTTTGTCGGCCGAGAAATGAGACTTCCTTCAATCCCTTAAACACGCCCGACATTAATCCTGCGGAGCAATTATTAGGGATATATTGAAAAATTATAAACAAATGGAAATTAGATCGTCGTATTCTAAGAACCTTATTATTTAGTTGTACTTGCAAAGGCTTGTTGACCGCGTTGCCGATTTCGCAAATATTCCGTACAAGTAGCGAGTAGTTGCCGCACTACAGTAGTACCAGTTCAGTATACTGGCAACTATGCTGTATCACATAATCATGAGCAATAATATAGCACTATATCACATAATCATGTGCAGTAATAAACTGCAGACAATTTGATATTTGGTTGGACAAATCGCAAGGGAACAAAGTCTTGCAGTCCTTCAAAATGCCCCCGAACATGATCAGTTCCGATTGGCCTTGTACTAGTGAGTAGAGGATTGTTTCCTCGGGCCCATTGGACGAGAGCGTTTTCGGCATCAGCCATTTGGCTGTGCCCGCTGTTAGTACTTGAGCGATGTCCAGAACGCATACAGTCATTGATAATTCGTTGGACTTCGGCATTGCAATCAGGCGCTTTTTTGCCATCGGGCTCAACTCGACTGTGTGCTGAATGTTGCGCTGTTGAGTAGCCTGCGAACACTTTTCCTGATGGCGATTTAGTAAGCTTCCTCTTCGTCCATTAACGTTGTCATCTACATCTAAAAAAATACATAGGTTATATATATAATATCGGGCTAAACTGATCAGCCAAAGTTACCGTTTGGTCGGTTGGCTAAGTCGATTCGGGAAAATCTAGGATGTTCTGGGAGCGCAGTCAACCACTGACTTCTCGGGTAATAAACGACGCTGTGTGCTTCCTTACTGTTGCGACGCTTATTCAAAACGACCAGTTTATCGCCAACCTAAAAGGTGCAAAATAAGCTCGTGCTTTCATTTGAGATTGGCGGTAGCTACCAAACATCCTGGATTGCTCCAGATGTTCTGCGCCTCGTTGTCTCTGTCGAGAAGAGAAACTCTGATCCATTTCCATGCGTCGCCTTCCATGTTCAATATCCAGCAGTCGTGAAATTGAATGTTCGGACCGGCAGAGCCTCCCAATATCAGCAAATTCTTCTCATCCAACACCACTTGAGTGGCGCCGAATCGGCCTTTCGGTCTTTGTCCTCCTGCACAGATCCGTTGAATCATCCGGCGATTTTCCTGCTAGTTTCCCGTTCTTACCTTCGAACAGTTGTTGCGTCCAAGTCCATGTGACCAAGTTCAGCTTCCAAACCACGTTAGATTTTTCACAATGCACCTCGCCTTGTTGCCTTTGCAACCCTCCAAAAACTATCATCCAGTCGCCTACTACAGAGGCGGAATGACCGGCCATCGGTGGCGGCGTGAGCATCGTATTTATGCAAGTCCATTGATTTTTGCTCTTGTCGTAAACGTGCAGTTCGTCGTAAAGATGCCAGCTTTGGTGCAGCGGATACGATGGTGGGTACGTCCATCCTCCGAATAGTACTGAGGAAAATCGAACATTTGAAGTAAAGGAACCGTTTAGTGTCTAAGTCCAGTAGTTTTTACATATTCTATCAGTCCTCCCAAGCCCCTGCGTAAATAGCATTGTGATAGAGATAAATATAAATTAGGGGTCGCTAACACAGCGGTGCAGTGCACCAGGAAAGTGGTGGGCGAAATTCGAAAATAAATGTTTCAGCGGGAAATCGGATAAACGTGAAGGTCGGCAGGTAAATTTAGAATTGCGGCCAAGAACAAAGAGCAGGAATGGGTCATGAATATCAAGAAAAATGGTAATTTGCAATAATTTCAAAAGGCCTTACTCAACATTTCCTTGTATTGCACCAGAGTACTGCATGCCTTAGGAGATGGATAGGCGCCAGTGGTAATAGGCCTGATCCACATCCTGGTGTTCAAATCCAGTTTCCATAGATCGTTGAATGTAGTCATTGAACTGGTGCAGCCACCGAAAATGTACATCAGATCATCACACACTACTGCTGAATGCGAGAATCTTCTTGTGATGCCAGCTGTGTTCGGCGCAACAGAGACTCGCGTCCAGTTCATATCCATATCTGCGATGGATTTGTGGAACTTACGGTTCTTCACTTGCCTAACGTCTGGACAGCAAATTAACTCGGTTAATGATTGGGCGTGCATGCATTGTCGCTTTACCTACTCTCTGCACATCGTTTCCATCGTTCGGAGACTGCCATGCAATTATGTAGGTCTTTGTACGTCGAAACGAAGGATAGAATGAATTCTATCACTTCGTCGGGCAAAGCATCCATAGATGTACCGTTACAGTTGTCGACCATTGCATTTATGCTCCGACCGACCATTCCGCAAACTGACCACTCAATGCAACACACTGAAATACATGAATTTTAAGAAAACTTCGTCCAGAAATGTTTTGATGTTTTTATTTTCATTTCTTGACGTCTGTCGGTGATTTGACAGTATTCCTCTTCCAGCAATCGTTAATGGATTGGGCGAGGCTTGAATGTTGCCGCTTTTAACGCAGGCGAGCGCTGGTAACCGTAAGAAGCAGTCGAATATTTAAAGCAACAAATAAATAATCTACGGAATAAGCATTCTTCTTCCATTTAGCCCATTTGCTCCATGGTGGCCACGCCCGGACATACAATCAATACGCTATTGTCTGACTTCAGGAAGCATAACTTCCAATGACATTTTGACGTCCACTGAACCGGGAGTTTCAATTTTCCGTACCTTTAACCGTGTTTTATGGCCAAATTTGAGCCGCAAAACAATCAACACCGGCTGTGTTTGATTGAGCCCCAAGTGTGCCCCAAAGGCATTAAATCGGTTGCGGATATTGAGAGCCAGTTTCATCGCATTCCTGTATAGTGCAGTTCCTAACCTCACCAACAGTGAAACATGTCCCTTTTGCCCCATTTGGGGCCCGCTGGGGACTATCTAAAGCAATTGCGCCAACTAGTGCCGTTCAGGATATCGCTTTCAACCACCCAGAAGGTCGGTTCGCTGAGCTAAATTGAATTAGTCCAAAATACAATTTGTTCGGTTTCAGGTGGCCCTGATCTCTATGGGGGCTGGGATAATAGTGGTTGGGAGCCTGGCAAGGTTCCTCCGCAGGCGGAAACATGTTATCGACCCGGCAAAGCTGCGAAGGAACAATTTCAGCAGCAAACGCTCCAGAGCTTCGGGGGTGCGCAGTCCCAACGGTAATGGATCCAGCCCTTTGCCCAGAGCTGTTTTTTTTTCACCCAGTGGTTTTTAGTAGACATTGGAAGCATAGCGAGCAGTGGTAGAAGGAGTGGTCCGTATAGTATCATATATGGGGAGCGCTATTCAAGGCAGGGCTCCGCCATTGTCAGTACGAGCGAAAAGGCTTCTGTGGTGTCTGGAAGCGTGACTAGTGGTTCAGTAACCATTGGGGCAGTGGAGGATGGGGGAGGCGATGTAGAGCTCACGCCTCAACAGCTGGGAGTGATGGGTGAGTGCTGGGGGGCTGGTTAATTATGCAATGTTCTATTTATTCTGACGGTGGCAGTTTTTTTGCCATATGCGCTAATGATGAATATCTTTAAGTCGTCATTGATTTACTTAAAAAACCAGTTTGGAACATTTGCATCCGTCAATATCATTTAATGTGAATTGTCGCCAGTATACGGACGAATCTATAGAATGAGGCACGATTGGGAAAATTCCTGTTCAAATGCCGTCCATTAGGGAGGAGATAGGGATAATTTTATTATTAGCCGTTTAGTCATTAGTGTCGACGCTAATTTAATGAGCCAATTTTAATCGCCCTGAAGTAGGGCGTGTTTTGGATAAAAAGGTGTCGGAGCCAAGAACGGCGAACGCTTAGATTTATTAAATTTTGCCTGCTAACAATCTGAACAATGCTGTTTTTGAGAAATCCATATAAAAGTGTGTTGACTAATAGTCCAGTTGGCATAATAAGAAAATGCGTAATAGGAATAATTGCTATTGTTTCTCAGAATCCTCAGTCGTCTTGCGGCTGGTTTAGTGTTTATGATGGTTTACTCAAACTAAAAAAGAGCATAAGTTTATTGCGTGTAGTTTTGTAAGAATCATGTTTTTTCCTGATTCCTTCAGTGCAATCGGATTACGGAAATTCGAACGATAAATTAATGGAATCGTGCGAATTTATCAATAATTGATCGCGTTAAAACGATCGGCATAATTTCCGGAAGCGGATAAAGTAAATGGGATGGAAATATCCGCCCTGGTTCGTTTCAAGCGGCCGATTTCCTTGCACTTAAAACGCGAAAGTTCCGTTTGCAAGACCAAGAAATTCCAGATAAGTTCTATATTGTTGAGGCGGATTCATTTTTTCACAAACTGTTTGTTGGGTATTTCGCCTCAAAAATTTTTGTCTTTAAAAAAGACAGAATTTCCTCACGTCTTTTATTACAGATTGCAATCGCTAATAAAAGAATTGGTGAAGGTGAAAAAATAAATTCCATCTGAACACTGCATCAAAAGTGTTGTTCATTGGTTAATATAAGCGAAAAGGGCACAAGTTCAAGCAGCACAATGGGGAGTTGTGTGATCCTGTGGGCGATACAGTTAGTCGTTCCACTTTGTCATTCATTCAAAGCGCCGATTTTTCGCTCTTCGTTATCTTTTCGCTCCAAACTGGCCTCGTTGTTATTTAAAAATGTGACTGCGGTCGAGCCGGTCTGACGCAACTTATTGACAAAACACCTCAATCACTTCTAATTAGATAATTTATGTCGAATCGCCTCTTAGGGGTCACGACTATATATAAACGGTTTGATTAGAAAATTGCCCCGGCAGGAACAAGGCCTACATTTTTAATGGGCCGCAATTGCACGCGAAATAAGCGAATATTCTTTACGGGTTTCTTCCACTTATTGACCTATCAAATGGCCCTGCGTATTTTTCTTCCTTCGAGAGCGAAACAAGCTATTTGGAAGTGATGTCATGATTACGAAGTGGCCACGGAAAGACAAACATACAAAATATAAAAGTGCGATCAACTTCATGAAAATAGTGAGCTCAAGGCCTGAAATGGATGGACGATTGAAGATTAAAGGCAGTAAATGAAAAATAATCCAATAAATCAATTGATGTCCGATGAAATGCATTGCGACAAACATGGCGCTCTTATTGCATGGCGACAGACTGGCAGACGTCGCGTCGGCTGCGTCTCGACGCGCCCTCAAACAGTCTTGCTTTGTGTGTTTTCCCGATTTTCCATGCTGTGGAAATTAGGGCAGCCCACAAACGGCAAAAGGTCAAAGATCGGATAAACCGATTCTCGCCTGGCGTGTTTATTTGTCCCATAAGCCAATCGATGTCGGCCTCAAGGGCTGATTCAGGGGGGGTCATGGGAGTCATGACCCCCCCATTCAATTCTCTATCCAATGATGCCAAAACGAATTGTGTGGCTCGAATGGTTCTTGAGAAACTTCGAAAAAAGCAGCGTCATGTTCAAGTGGATTTTGCAACTTAAAGAAAAACCACGCAAATCTAAAACTTCTTGAATTCAAGCCAAAAGTTTACAAAACATAATTTGAAGATTTTTAAAATCTTTCGCACCTTCGAATTTTGGACAAAACTAATATTTTTTTCTGGGGTTTTTTCCGAACAGAACAAGCGAAACTTTATAATCAATTATTTGAAAAATACGCCAACTTCGTCGCTGTAAAAACACTCTCTTCACTTTAGGTCAAAATTTCTGCTAAACTGTTGCAAACTGCGGGTTTTTGGATCGACAACTGGGTTATTTATAGTTTGGTCCTCTTTTCTTTCATTTGGTGTCTTTTTCGAATACCCGTTTTACCTTTGAATTGGGGACAAAATCCAAAGTTAAAAAAGATTAGTTGGAAAACTCATTTAAAACCTCTTCGCTCTGAAGAAGTTTAAAGTTTCATCAAAAGTTCCGGTTTTTCTCGTTTTCGACCAAAAACCAGAAAAACCACATATTTAAGCAATCGTTTCTACAGAAAAGGTAACTCAATGTATAACTCAGGTGTTGGAGCAGTGCTGCGCAAATGGCTTGGTACTCAGCAACTCAGTTCCGTCGCTCGAAAAGCGATACTCCGAATGTTAACATTCCAGTCTAGCGCTTCGTACAGCTTTAATCCGCTTTAATATATGAGTTATGACTCATTCACCGATGAGTTATAACTCATTAACTCAGAGAGCGGCAACAACTCAAAAGCGCAACCCAACACAGTGTTACCCAGGCCTATCCGACATCACTTCAGCTTGCAAAAACAGGCAAATAATTAATAAATATACTTGTAGCCAGCTGAAATAAAGCGTTTTAAAACGCCTTTGAAAATAAGCGTTAATAATACTTGAGAAAAAGTTGAATGTGGTTTTTACTATGTAAAGCGCATTCAAAAGTGCATCAACTTGCGTTTTGGAGACTCGAATCAGTTTAAACCCGAAAAATTCTCAATTATTCTTCGCTTTTGCTACTGAGAAATTTAAAGAAAAAAAATCCATATATCTGGATTGGCTGTGTTATTCCATTGGGTGCATGTTTTCTCCAAAAAACTCTAAATTTACTAGTTGAGGTGCATCTGAAGCTTCCTGAAACGCCTTTCATACATGGGACGTTTCACACATGTTTTCTGCGTCGAAGAATGAAAGATTTTTAGGGAAATACTCGAATGCAGCTGCAGGCTTTCTGCGAGGAAAGCTGTTGAAGCTGCAGCTTCGTTCGTTTTTTAGTCAAAGATTAAATACAGTTGGCGCTGTAAAGGGGATCACATTCTTGTTAATTGGCACTGTTTTTCCAGAAACTAAGCTGTTCAATGCGTTATTTTGGCAATTAAATTATTTGGCTGCCTTTTTGAGCAAGAACAAATAGCGAATGATTCCCAGAGAGAGATTTTTCATTTGCAGGTAAAGTATTCTTGGCTTATTAATTTTTTTCTATTGCAATTAAATGATCGGTTTGATTGAAAACTTCCCCGAATTTCGGAACTGTGAAACGGTGTATTTCGTGCAATCGTACCACTACTTAAAATTGATTTGAAAAGTTTTATTATAAATATATTATTTAACAACCCATCGTCTTTTGGGAAACTGAACACACTCACTGTTGATTCGCCACTATAATTTCCTTTGCACTTGGGTACACAGCACTTATAGGGCATTTTTGCAATATTTATTTAAAAAACACAGATATAAAACACTCATAACACACTTTGGAGCTTAATTTTAGAGCCTGCAATCGGTTACAAGCCTAATAAACCACCAGCAAAATGCAAGCAAGTGTTGTATAAATTAGCGTCTTCTTGACTCTGTTCGGCCTACTTGCAGTCGGAATCGTCCAAACCCTCTCCGCCCTCTATCCCAGCTTGGCTTTTTAGACTTAGGAAATTCGATCGTAGATACCGAGCAGACCACAAGCAACATAGTTCTGATCGCATTTCAGACTACCATCCAGAATTTTTTCCCGAACAGGACAAGAAGTCCCTGACGCTGCAGCCCGACCTGACGCAGACGGTGGCAGCCTGCTACGAATACCCCTACACAACCCCGGCCACCTCCGTCACCAGATCGGTGTCGGAACACCATTATGACGTGCCCCATCTGGCGTCTGCGTCCGATATTCAAATGTCGCCGGCCACCAGTTCCACTCTGGAATCATCTAGCGGCAAGCGGAGCCAGATGAGTGGCTCTACGAACAATTGTAAGTCCATCTGGAACAACATTCTTCTGCTTGGGTTTGGCTAAGTCAGCTATTTGCAGCTGATTCCACTTACGACGTGGCTACTGAGCAAGTGACGCTGCCGCTCTCGGCGCTGCCTGCTGCTTACGCAGTCACGCCCACCACCAGCGGCAACTACAGCAGCGCCGCCGTCACCCACGCGGGCGCCTTTTTGAACCTGCCGGAATCGGGCGTCAATCTTCTGGTACCGGAGGGTGCCGTTTCGCGAAGTCGCAAGCAGGAAATCTTCCTGTCCATCCTCAACGAAGACTGTTTCCGGCCGAAGTTGGCCGAGCACCTGACGCAGCTCAGCCCAGTGGTGTCCTGCGGGCCCAACGTGTCCCTGAACAAGGCCGTAGTGCTGAAGCTGCCCCACTGTGCCGAGCTGACTCGCAACAGCTGGTCGATCTCCATACTGCAAAGCGACTGCAGCGACTCCCAGTGGCAAAACGCCGTCACTCTGGGCCAGGAGACCATCAACACGAACGTGTTTTGCCAGTTTGACGCCGACTCGGCCTACTTGGTGACTGAATGTTTGTCCAGATTTGTGATGGTGGGCAAGTCGACCAATGGCAGCGCCATCAAAAGACTGAAACTGGCGGTGTTCGCCCCCAAGCTCTGCTTCCAGACCACCATCGACTACTGCGTGCGAGTGTATATATTGGAGGACACGGAAAGCTCCATGGAGACGGTCTTCGGACAGGAGAAGCGTCTAGGGGGGTACTTGCTGGACGAGCCGCGATCCGTGGCCTTCCAGGACGGCGGCAACGCGCTCTGCCTCAACTTGGAGGCGATCAGTGAGGGCTGGCAAGCCAAGCCCGGCTCCCACTACCAAGAGGTCCCATTCGCCCACGTTTGGCAGGCGAACAGCAACAGTCTGCACTGCAGCTTCACCTTGGAGTCCTACGAGGTGAGCAGGCAGTTGAGCTTCAAGCTGCGCGTCAACCAGAAGGGCTTCGACTATCAGCAGCTGTTCGACATTGCCTGCAAGGATGATGCGACCGATAGCAAAACCAGCACTTCGGCCAAGTTCAGCAGCAGCGATCTGCTGCCAAAAGTGGCCATCCACAGCGAGACCAGCCGGTCCAACGACTCGAAAAAAAGTGCCAAAAGCCTGATAGTGACCGATCGGGGCGTGTCCACCTGTGACGACTTCAATTTTAGACTGAGCAAGCAAATTAGGAAACAATTGTGTCACTGTTTGGACCCGCCCACTCAGCGGGGCAACGACTGGCGCATGTTGGCGCACGCCCTTAATGTGGACAGGTACATAAACTTTTTCGCTACCAAACCGTCACCGGCCGATTGTATTTTCGATCTGTGGGAGGCGCGTAATCGAACCAGCAACGCCCTCACCGAACTGAAACAGATTTTCACGGAAATGGAACGGTACGATGCGGTCAGTGTGTTGGATAATTGTTTGGGGCCCAATTGGTTGTAATTTTGTTGTTGGACTGTTGGTTCTGTCGGCGCCAGGTCTGCCTGTGCAGGAGGAGCCGCTTGCTGGCCCCTACACGCGCAAACTTGGCCCCTATCTGAAATGTCTATGTATTATTTTTTGTTTGTTAAGTACGGAAGTGACTGGTGAAAGGCGTTTCAGCAAGCGAAACAGGTAAAGGAGTGAAAATGCATTTTGTCGCCAGCTGAAGAAAGCGGGCGAACGCGCGGAGAGTGCAGGTGGGAATCAGCCTTTAGTCGCAAGTGCTGCGCGCAAGACGCACGTTCACAGAAAAAATGTCTGCGTACGTCCTAAACAATATGCTTAGGTTCGAAACCACATAACGTAGTTCTCAACGCCAAATTTACTGTTAAATTGTCTTAGTATTTGTTGTCGACTTCTTTTGCTTCACTTCGCAAACTCGCGCGAACACAGACGAGCCATCCAGGCGGATTTTCACGACATTAGGTCTGGGTAACTCAAATTTTTTGCAGTAGGCGCAGTGCTGTGCAACTGGCTTTTTGCGCCAACTCAACGCACCGGCGCAGTAACTCAGTTCCGTTGCTGTCAAAAAATTGACTTTTTTTGTTAAGTTGTTCTTCGGTTTAAGGGTCATTTATTAACAATATTTTCAGTTTTTTCAAAATTTCAGCATTTTACAGTTTTCGCAAAGTGATTTTAGAATAAATTGTATTACTCTATATTAACAATCGTCTCCTTCGTCGTTTCGTAAAAAGTATTGAAATCATTTTCCAGCTTCAAATTTAAGGCAAAAATCAACTAAGTTTTTATTAAAAAGCGAACAGAATATAACAGAAAGTTTACATATACTCATCACCTACATCCCTCTGAAGACTGTAGAGTTGGTTTTACTGAGGATTTTTAGTTTTGATTGAATTTTTTCTTGTTTTTATACTCAAAAACGCTCTATTTTATAGAGTTTCACTTAAAAATACTGACAATCTGGAGTTGTTTTACGCGAAAAATTGCAAGATAAATTTATAGGTGAAGGAATTTTACAAAAACCTTTTTCAGCGTCGAATTCGGGACAGAAACGAAAATAAGTTCCGATTTTTGCAAGAAAAAGTTTTTGTGAAAAACCAATCACAAAACCAAAGTATTAAATCGAAAACGCAAAAAATTCATTATTTTCTGATGCTTTTCTTCTTTTCCGACGAACATGGGGTCTTTTCAGCCAAAAACGACAATTAATCTTGCTTGAAAATTCGCCTTATGCATCGCTTTGCAGGAGATTTTAGAAAGCCCTTTTGAGCTTCAAATTTGGCACAAAAACCAAATAATTTTATTTCGTTTTTCCAAAAGTAATTAAGATTACCTTGAAAACACGACCAGAGCMAAAGTTTACAAAACATAATTTGAAGATTTTTAAAAWCTTTYGCACCTTCGAATTTTGGACAAAACTAATATTTTTTTCTGGGKTTTTTTCCAAAAATATTTTTCCGAAYAGAACAAGCGAAACTTTATAAYCAATTATTYGAAAAATWCGYCAACTTCGTCGCTGTAAAAACWSTCTCTTCACTTTTAGGTCAAWATTTCTAAACAAAACTCCTGCTAAACTGTKGCAAACTGCGGGTTTTTGGATCGACAACTGGGGTTTTTWTTTATAGTTTGGTCCTCTTTTCTTTCATTTGGTGTCTTTTTCGAATACCCGTTTTACCTTTGAATTGGGGACAAAATCCAAAGTTAAAAAARATTAGTTCTCCAAAAAACGATCAGAGAAAGCAAAGGCTTATGGATCAACTATTTGGAAAACTCWTTTAAAACCTCWTCGCTCTGAAGAAKTTTAAAGTTTCATCAAAAGTTCCGGTTTTTCYCGTTTTCGACCAAAAACCAGAAAAACCACATATTTAAGCAATCGTTTCTACAGAAAAGGTAACTCAATGTATAACTCAGGTGTTGGAGCAGTGCTGCGCAAATGGCTTGGTACTCAGCAACTCAGTTCCGTCGCTCGAAAAGCGATACTCCGAATGTTAAAATTCCAGTCTAGCGCTTCGTACAGCTTTAATCCGCTTTAATATATGAGTTATGACTCATTCACCGATGAGTTATAACTCATTAACTCAGAGAGCGGCAACCACTCAAAAGCGCAACCCAACACAGTGTTACCCAGGCCTATCCGACATCACTTCAGCTGGCAAAAACAGGCAAATAATTAAAAAATATACTTGTAGCCAGCTGAAATAAAGCGTTTTAAAACGCCTTTGAAAATAAGCGTTGATAATGCTTGAGAAAAAGTTGAATGTGGTTTTTACTATGTAAAGCTCATTCAAAAGTGCATCAACTTGCGTTTTGGAGACTCGAATCAGTTTAAACCCGAAAAATTCTCAATTATTCTTCGCTTTTGCTACTGAGAAATTTAAAGAAAAAAAATCCATATATCTGGATTGGCTGTGTTATTCCATTGGGTGCATGTTTTCTCCAAAAAACTCTAAATTTACTAGTTGAGGTGCATCTGAAGCTTCCTGAAACGCCTTTCATACATGGGACGTTTCACACATGTTTTCTGCGTCGAAGAATGAAAGATTTTTAGGGAAATACTCGAATGCAGCTGCAGGCTTTCTGCGAGGAAAGCTGTTGAAGCTGCAGCTTCGTTCGTTTTTTAGTCAAAGATTAAATACAGTTGGCGCTGTAAAGGGGATCACATTCTTGTTAATTGGCACTGTTTTTCCAGAAACTAAGCTGTTCAATGCGTTATTTTGGAAGTTAAATTATTTGGCTGCCTTTTTGAGCAAGAACAAATAGCGAATGATTCCCAGAGAGAGATTTTTCATTTGCAGGTAAAGTATTCTTGGCTTATTAATTTTTTTCTATTGCAATTAAATGATCGGTTTGATTGAAAACTTCCCCGAATTTCGGAACTGTGAAACGGTGTATTTCGTGCAATCGTACCACTACTTAAAATTGATTTGAAAAGTTTTATTATAAATATATTATATAAAA